AAAGAGAGATAGAGCGTGTGAGTTAGGAGAAATCAGAATAAGCCATGTACAGGAATTTAACTGCCTCTGTATAAGAAAACAGAATATAAGATCCTCAAAAAGAGAGATAGACCAGGTGTGAGTTAGGAGAAATCAGAATAAGCCATGTACAGAATTTAACTGCCTCTGTATAAGAAAACAGAATATAAGATCAAAAAGAAAAAGAAGATAGACCAAGGTGTGAGTTAAGGAGAAATCAGAATAAGCCATGAAGGAATTTAACTGCCTCTGTATAAGAAAAAGAATATAAGAAAAAAAAAGAGAGATAGACCAAGGTGTGAGTTAGGAGAAATCAGAATAAGCCATGTACAGGAATTTAACTGCCTCTGTATAAGAAAACAGAATATAAGATCCTCAAAAAGAGAGATAGACCAAGAATATAAAGTTAGGAGAAATCAGAATAAGCCATGTAAAGGAATTTAACTGCCTCTGTATAAGAAAACAGAATATAAGATCCCAAAAAGAGATCAAAAAAGAGAGAATAACCAAGAAAACAGAATATGAGATTAGAGAAAAGAAATCAGAATAATGTACAGGAATTTAACTGCCTCTGTATAAGAAAACAGAATATAAGATCCTCAAAAAAGAGAGATAGACCAAAGGTGTGAGTTAGGAGAAATCAGAATAAGCCATGTACAGGAAAGAAAACAGAATATAAGATCCTCAAAAAGAGAGATAGACCAAGGTGTGTGAAAGAAATCAGAATAAGAAAACAGAATTTAACTGCCTCTGTAAAAAAACAGAATATAAGATCCTCAAAAAGAGATAGACCAATGTGAGTTAGGAGAAATCAGATGTACAGGAATTTAACTGCCTCTGTATAAGAAAAAGAATATAAGATCCTCAAAAAGAGAGATAACCAAGGTGTGAGTTAGAGAAATCAGAATAATATGTACAGGAATTTAACTGCCTCTGTATAAGAAAAAGAATATAAGAAAAGAAAAAAAGAGAGATAGACCAAGGTGTGAGTTAGGAGAAATCAGAATAAGCCATGTACAGGAATTTAACTGCCTCTGTATAAGAAAAACAGAATATAAGATCCTCAAAAAGAGAGATAGACCAAGGTGTGAGTTAGAGAAATCAGAATAAATGTACAGGAATATAAAAAAAAATAAGAAAAAGAAAACAGAATATAAGATCCTGTATAAGAAAACAGAAATAAGAGAGATAGAAAGGTGTGAGTTAGGAGAAAAAATAATATGTACAGGAATTTAACTGCCTCTGTATAAGAAAAAACAGAAAAAGATCCTCAAAAGAGAGATAGACCAAGGTGTGAGTTAGGAGAAATCAGAATAAGCCATGTACAGGAATTTAACTGCCTCTGTATAAGAAAACAGAATATAAGATCCTCAAAAAGAGAGATAGACCAGAATATAGTTAGGAGAAATCAGAATAATAATGTACAGGAATTTAACTGCCTCTGTATATAAAAAAACAGAATATAAGATCCTCAAAAGAGAAAAAAAAGAGAAATAGAACCAAGGAATTTGTGAGTTAAGAAAACAGAATAGAAATCAAAAGAAAAAAGAGAAATTAACCATGCAGGAATTTAACTGTATAAGAAAACAGAATATAAGATCCTCAAAAAGAGAGATAGACCAAGGTGTGAGTTAGAGAAATAAGAAAAAGCCATGTACAGGAATTTAACTGCCTCTGTAATAAGAAAACAGAATATAAGAAAAAAAAAAGAGAGATAGACCAAGGTGTGAGTTAGAGAAATCAAAGAATTTAATCTGTATAAGAAAACAGAATATAAGATCCTCAAAAGAGAGATATAATGTAAAGAAAATATAAAGGAATTAAGATGCCTCAAAATAAGAGAAGACCAAAAAACAGAATATAAGATCCTCAAAAGAGAGAAGGATAGACCAAGGTGTGAGTTAGGAGAAATCAGAATAAGCCATGTACAGGAATTTAACTGCCTCTGTATAAGAAAACAGAATATAAGATCCTCAAAAAAGAGATAGACCAAAAGGAGAAACAGAATAAGCCATGTACAGGAATTTAACTGCCTCTGTATAAGAAAACAGAATATAAGATCCTCAAAAAGAGAGATAGACCAAGAGAAATCAGAATAAGAGTTAACTGGAGAAATCAGAAATAAGATCCTCAAAAGAGAGATGTACAGTTAGAATTTAGAATATAAGAAAACAGAATATAAGATCCTCAAAAAGAGAGATAGACCAAGGTGTGAGTTAGAGAAATAAGAATAAGCCAACAGGAATTTAACTGCCTCTGTATAAGAAAACAGAATATAAGATCCTCAAAAAAGAGAGATAGACCAAGTGTGAGTTAGGAGAAATCAGAATAAGCCATGTACAGGAATTTAACTGCCTCTGTATAAGAAAACAGAATATAAGATCCTCAAAAAGAGAGATAGACCAAGGTGTGTGAGTTAGAGAAAAGAATAAGCCATGTACAGGAATTTAACTGCCTCTGTATAAAAAAGAATATAAGATCCTCAAAAAGAGAGATAGACCAAGGTGTGAGTTAGGAAGAATAAGCCATGTACAGGAATTTAACTGCCTCTGTATAAGAAAACAGAATATAAGATCCTCAAAAAGAGAGATAGACCAAAGGTGTGAGTTAGGAGAAATCAGAATAAGCCATGTACAGGAATTTAACTGCCTCTGTATAAAGAAAACAGAATATAAGATCCTCAAAGAGAGAGATAGACCAAGGTGTGAGTTAGAGAAATCAGAATAAGCCATGTACAGGAATTTAACTGCCTCTGTATAAGAAAACAGAATATAAGATCCTCAAAAGAGAGATAGACCAAGGTGTGAGTTAGGAGAAATCAGAATAAGCCATGTACAGGAATTTAACTGCCTCTGTATAAGAAAACAGAATATAAGATCCTCAAAAAAGAGAGATAGACCAAAAGTTAAGGAGAAATCAGAAAATCAGAAGCCATAACAGGAATTTAACTGCCTCTGTATAAGAAAACAGAATATAAGATCCTCAAAAAAGAGAGATAGACCAAGGTGTGAGTTAGGAGAAATCAGAATAAGCCATGTACAGGAATTTAACTGCCTCTGTATAAGAAAACAGAATATAAGATCCTCAAAAGAGAGATAGACCAATAAGCCATGTACAGGAATTTAATAGGAGAAAAAACAGAATATAAGCTCAAAAAAGAATGAGTCTGGAGAAAAGAAAAAACAGAATATAAGAAAACAGATAAGATCCTCAAAAAAAGAGATAGACGTAAGAGTTAGGAGAAATCAGAATAAGCCATGTACAGAATTTAACTGCCTCTGTATAAGAAAACAGAATATAAATCCTCAAAAGAGAGAAGACCAAGGTGTGAGTTAGGAAATTTAACATGCAGGAATTTAACTGCCTGTATAAGAAAACAGAATATAAGATCCTCAAAAAAGAGAGAGACCAAGGTGTGAGTTAGGGAGAAATCAGAATAAGCCATGTACAGGAATTTAACTGCCTCTGTATAAGAAAACAGAATATAAGATCCTCAAAAGAGAGATAGACCAAGGTGTGAAAGAGAAAAGAAAAGAAGAAATCTGTATAAGAAAAGAAAAAGAATGTAGACAGGAATTTAACTGGAATTTCTGTATAAGAAAACAGAATATAAGATCCTCAAAAAGAGAGATAGACCAAGGTGTGAGTTAGGAGAAATCAGAATAAGCCATGTACAGGAATTTAACTGCCTCTGAATAAGAAAAACAGAATATAAGATCCTCAAAAAGAGAGATAGACCAAGGTGTGAGTTAGGAGAAATCAGAATAAGCCATGTACAGGAATTTAACTGCCTCTGTATAAGAAAACAGAATATAAGAAAAAAGAGAGATAGACCAAGGTGTGTGTTAGGAGAAATCAGAATAAGCCAAACAGGAATTTAACTGCCTCTGTATAAGAAAACAGAATATAAGAAAAAGAGAGATAGAATGAGTTAGGAGAAATCAGAATAAGCCATGTACAGGAATTTAACTGCCTCTGTATAAGAAAAAGAAAAAAGAGAATAAAAGAGAAATCAGAATAAATGTACAGGAATTTCCCTCTGTATAAGAAAACAAAGAAGAGATAGACCAAAGGTGAGTTAGGAGAAATCAGAAAAGCCAAACAGAATTTAACTGCCTCTGTATAAGAAAACAGAATATAAGAAAAGAATATAAGAAAGAAAAGAGATATAAACGTGAAGAAGAGTTAGGAGAAATCAGAATAAGCCATGTACAGGAATTTAACTGCCTCTGTATAAGAAAACAGAATATAAGATCCTCAAAAGAGAGATAGACCAAATGTGAGTTAGGAGAAATCAGAATAAGAATGTACAGGAATTTAAAAGAATCTGTATAAGAAAACAGAATATAAGAAAAGAGAGATAGACCAGGAATTTAAGCCTCTGTATATAAGAAAAACAGAATATATCCTCAAAAGAGATAGACCAAGAGAAATCAGAATAAGCCAACAGGAATATAAGAATAAAGAAAACAGAATATAAGAAAAGAATATAAAAAAGAGAGATAGACCAAGTGTGTTAGGAGAAATCAGAATAAAGAATTTAAAAAAGAATAAGAAAAACAGAAATAAGATCAAAAAAGAGATAGAATATAAGAAGGAGAAATCAGAATAAGCCATGTACAGGAATTTAACTGCCTCTGTATAAGAAAACAGAATATAAGATCCTCAAAAAAGATAGACCAAGGTGAAAGTTAGGAGAAATCAGAATAAGCCATGTGAAGGAATTTAACTGCCTCTGTATAAGAAAACAGAATATAAGATCCTCAAAAGAGAGATAGACCAATGTGTGAAAGAAAATAAGAAAAAATGTACAGGAATTTAACTGAAGAATATAAGAAAACAGAATATAAGATCCTCAAAAAGAGAGAAGAATATAAGAAAAGAAATCAGAAAAAGAATATAAGGAATTTAAAGAATATCTGTAAAAGAAAACAGAATATAAGAAAAGAAAAAAAGAATATAACCAAGTGTGAAAAGGAAAATCAGAATAAGCCATGAAAGAATATTAGAAAAAGAAAACAGAATATAAGAAAAAGAAAAAGAATAGATAGAAAAAGAAAAGAATATAAGTACAGGAATTTAAAAGAATATGTAAAAGAAAACAGAAATATAGAGATAGACCAAGGTGTGTGTGTGAAAGAATTTAACTGCCTCTGTATAAGAAAAGAATATAAGATCCTCAAAAAGAGAGATAGACCAATATAAGAAAAAGAAAAGGAATATAAAATAAGAAAACAGAATATAAGAAAAGAGAAAAGAATAAGAGAAATGAGAAAGCCATGTAAGAATTTAACTGCCTCTGTATAAGAAAAAGAATATAAGATCCTCAAAAAGAGAGAGAGAAAAAAGAATATAAGAGTGTGAAAGAAAAAGAAACAGAATATAACTGCCCTGTGAAAAGAAAACAGAATATAAGATCCTCAAAAAGAATATAAAGTGTGAAAGAAAATAAGAAAAAGATAAGAAAACAGAATATAAGAGAATTTAACTGCCGTATGAAAAAAGAATATAAGATCCTCAAAGAAAAAAAAAAGAATATAAGCCATGACAGGAATATAAGAAAAAAAAACAGAATATAAGAGCGTGAAGAGATATAAGAAAAGAATATAAGCCATGTACAGAATTTAATATAAGAAAAAAAGAATATAAGATCCAAAAAGAGAGTGAAAGAATATAGGAGAAAAGAATAAGCCATGTAAGGAATTTAACTGCCTCTAAATAAGAAAAAAGAATATAAGAAAAAAAAGAATAAAGAAAAAGTGTGAAAGAATATAGTAAAAAGAATATAACTGCCTCTGTATAAGAAAAAAGAATATAAGAAAGAGAAAGAATATATAAGAGTGTACAGAATTAAAGAATATAAGAAAAAAGAATATAAGCGTGTGAAAAGAAGAGAAAAAAAAGAATATAAAAAAGAAAAAAGAATATAATATAAAAAGAAAAAGAATATAAGAATAAAAAAGAATATAAGTGAAAGAATATAAGAAAAGAAAACAGAATATAAGAACGTGAAAGAATATAAAAAAAAAGAATATAAGATGTGAAAGAATATAAGAAAAAAAAAAAAAGAATATAAGAGCGTTGAAAGAATAAGAAAAAGAATATAAAAAAGAATATAAGAGTGTGAAAGAATATAAGAAAAAAGAAAAGAATATAAAGAAAGAATGTAAAGAATATAAGAAAAAAAAAAATATAAGAGTGTGAAAGAATATAAAAAAAAAAAAGAATAGCGTGAAAAGCGTAAGAAAAGAAAGAATATAAGAAAAAAAAAGAATATAAGAGTGTGAAAGAATATAAGAAAAAAAAGAATATAAGAATAAAGAATAAAAAAAGAATAAAAGAAAGAATATAAGAAAAGAAAAGAATATAAGAGTGAAAGAATATAAGAAAAAAAAAGAAAAAGAATATAAGGCGTGAAAAGAATATAAGAGTGTGAAAGAATATAAGAAAAAGAATATAAGCGTGTGAAAGAATATAAGAAAAAGAAACAGAATATAAGAGCGTGAAAGAATATAAGAAAAAGAATATAAGCGTGTGAAAGAATATAAGAAAAAGAAACAGAATATAAGAGCGTGAAAGAATATAAGAAAAAGAAAAAGAATATAAGCGTGTGAAAGAATATAAGAAAAAGAAACAGAATATAAGAGCGTGAAAGAATATGAAAGAAATATAAGAAAAAGAATATAAGCGTGTGAAAGAATATAAGAAAAAAAGAAACGGAAAGAATATAAGAAAAAGCGTGAAAGAATATAAGAAAAAAGAAAAGAATATAAGCGTGTGAAAGAATATAAGAAAAAGAAAAAGAATATAAAGCGTGAAAGAATATAAGAAAAAAAAGAAAATAAATATAAGCGTGTGAAAGAATATAAGAAAAAGAAAGAATATAAAGCGTGAAAGAAAAAGAAAAAGAAAAAAGAATATAAGCGTGAAAGAATATAAGAAAAAGAAAAAGAATATAAGCGTGAAAGAATATAAGAAAAAAAAGAATAAACAGAATAAGAAAAAGAAAAAAAAAATATAAGAGCGTGAAAGAATATAAGAAAAAAAAAAAGAATATAAAGCGTGAAAGAATATAAGAAAAAGAAAAAGAAAAAGAAAAAGAATATAAGAGCGTGAAAAGAATATAAAAAAAAATAAATATAAAAAAGAATATAGAAAAAAAAGCAGAATATGTGAAAGAATATAAGAAAAAAAAAAAGAATATAAAGAGCGTGAAAGAATATAAGAAAAAAAAAGAATATAAGGAAAGAATATAAGAAAAAGAAAAAGAATATAAGAAAAAAAAAAAAATATAAGAGCGTGAAAGAATATAAGAAAAAAGAATATAAAGAAAAGCGTGTGAAAGAATATAAGAAAAAGAAACAGAATATAAGAGCGTGAAAGAATATAAAAAAAAATATAAGCGCATGAAAGAATATAAGAAAAAAGAAAAGAATATAAGAAAAAGCAGAATATGAAAGAATATAAGAAAAAAAAAGAATATAAAGAATGTGAAAAAGAAGAATAAAAAAAAAACAGAATATAAAGAGCGTGAAAGAATATAAGAAAAAGAAAAAGAATATAAGCGTGAAAGAATATAAGAAAAGAATATAAGAAAAAAAAAAAAGAATATAAGAGCGTGAAAGAAATATAAGAAAAAGAATATAAGCGTGTGAAAGAATATAAGAAAAAGAAAACAGAATATAAAGAATATAAGTGAAAAAGAATATAAGAAAAAAAGAATATAAAGCGTGTGAAAGAATATAAAAAAAAAAAAGAATATAAAAGAATATGAAAAGAATATAAGAAAAAAGAATATAAGCGTGTGAAAAGAATATAAGAAAAAGAAACAGAATATAAGAGCGTGAAAGAATATAAGAAAAAGAATATAAATGTGAAAGAATATAAAGAAAAAAGAAACAGAATATAAGAGCGTGAAAGAATATAATAAAAAAAAAGAATATAAGCGTGTGAAAAGAATATAAGAAAAAAGAAAAGAATATAAGAAAAAGAAAGAATATAAGAAAAGAATATAAGAAAAAGAATATAAGAAAAAAAAAAAAGAATATGTGTGAAAGAATATAAAAAAAAAAAAAAGAATATAAGAAAAGAATATAAGAAAAGAAAAATATAAGAAAAAGAATATAAGAAAAAAAGAATATAAGTGTGAAAGAATATAAGAAAAAGAAACAGAATATAAGCGTGAAAAAGAATAAAGAAAGAAAAAGAATATAAGCGTGTGAAAGAATATAAGAAAAAAGAAAAAGAATATAAGAGCGTGAAAGAATATAAGAAAAGAAAAGAATATAAAGCGTGTGAAATAAGAAAAAGAATATAAGAATAAAGAAAAAGAATATAAAAGAGCGTGAAAGAATATAAAAAAAAAAGAATATAAGCGTGTGAAAGAATATAAGAAAAAAGAAACAGAATATAAGAGCGTGAAAGAATATAAGAAAAAGAATAGAAAAGCGTGTGAAAAGAATATAAGAAAAAAGAATATAAGAATATAAAGGCGTGAAAGAAATATAAGAAAAAAAATATAAAGCGTGAAAGAATATAAGAAAAAAAAGAATATAAGCGTGTGAAAGAATAAAGAAAAAAGAATATAATATAAGAGCGTGAAAGAATATAAGAAAAAAGAATATAAGCGTGTGAAAAGAATATAAAAAAAAAAAAAAAGAATATAAGAGCGTGAAAGAATATAAAAAAAAGAAAAAGAATATAAGCGTGTGAAAGAATATAAAAAAAAGAAAAAAAAAAAAGAATATAAGAGCGTGAAAGAATATAAGAAAAAAATATAAGAAATATAAAGCGTGTGAAAGAATATAAGAAAAAAAACAGAATATAAGAGCGTGAAAGAATATAAGAAAAAGAATATAAGCGTGTGAAAAGAATATAAGAAAAAGAAAAAAACAGAATATATAAGCGTGAAAGAATATAAGAAAAAAAAAAGAATATAAAGCGTGTGAAAGAATATAAGAAAAAAAAAACAGAATATAAGAGCGTGAAAGAATATAAAAAAAAAGAATATAAGCGTGTGAAAGAATATAAAAAAAAAAACAGAATATAAGAGCGTGAAAGAATATAAGAAAAAAGAATATAAGCGTGAAAGAATATAAGAAAAAGAAAAAGAATATAAAAAAAAAAAGAATATAAGAGCGTGAAAGAATATAAGAAAAAAAAAAAAAGCGTGAAAGAATAAGAAAAAAGAATATAAAGCGTGTGAAAGAATATAAGAAAAAGAAACAGAATATAAGAGCGTGAAAGAATATAAGAAAAAGAATATAAAGCGTGAAAGAATATAAGAAAAAGAAACAGAATATAAGAGCGTGAAAGAATAAGAAAAGAAAGAAAAAGAAATAGAAAAAGCGAATATAAGAGCGTGAAAAAGAATATAAGAAAAAAAAAACGTGTGAAAGAATATAAAAGAATATAAGAAAGAATATAAAAAAAAAAGAATATAAAGTGAAAGATATGTGAAAAAAGAATATATAAAAAAAAAAAAAAGAAAAAAGAATATAAGTGAAAGCGTAAAAAAAAAAGAATATGAAAGAAGAAAAAGAATATAAGCGTGTGAAAGAATATAAGAAAAAAGAAACAGAATATAAAAAAGAATATAAAAAAGAATGAAAGAATATAAGAAAAAAAAAAAGAAATAGAAAAAAAAAAAAGAAGAATATAAGAAAAAAAAAGAATATAAGAGCGTGAAAGAATATAAGAAAAAGAATATAAGCGTGTGAAAGAATATAAGAAAAAGAAACAGAATATAAGAGCGTGAAAGAATATAAGAAAAAGAATATAAGCGTGTGAAAGAATATAAGAAAAAGAAACAGAATATAAGAGCGTGAAAGAATATAAGAAAAAGAATATAAGCGTGTGAAAGAATATAAAAAAAAGAAAAAGAATATAAGAGCGTGAAAGAATATAAGAAAAAGAATATAAGCGTGTGAAAGAATATAAGAAAAAGAAACAGAATATAAGAGCGTGAAAGAATATAAGAAAAAAAGAAATAAAAAAAAAAGAAAAGAATATAAGAAGAATATAAGAAAAAAAAAGCGTGAAAGTGAAAAGAAAATAAAAAAAAAAAGAATATAAGAGCGTGAAAGAATATAAGAAAAAGAAAAGAATATAAAGCGTGTGAAAGAATATAAGAAAAGAAACAGAATATATAAAAGAGCGTGAAAAGAATATAAAAAAAAGAAAAAGAATATAAGAATAAAGAATATAAGAAAAAAATAATGAAAGAATATAAGAAAAAGAAACAGAATATAAAAGAGAAAGAAAGAATAAAAGAAAAAGTGAAAGAATATAAAAAAAAAAAAGAATATAGAAAGAAAAAGAAAAAGAATATAAAGAATATAGCGTGAAAGAATATAAAGAAAAGAGAAAAAGAATATAAAAGCGTGTGAAAAGAATATAAAAAAACAGAATATAAGAGCGTGAAAGAATATAAGAAAAAAAAAAAAAGAATATAAGCGTGTGAAAGAATATAAGAAAAAAAAAAAAAGAGAAAAGAAAGAATATAAGAGCGGAAAGAAAAAGAAAAGAATATAAGCGTGAAAGAATATAAGAAAAAAAACAGAATATAAGAGCGTGAAAGAATATAAGAAAAAAAAATAAAGCTGCAGGAAAGAATATAAGAAAAAGAAAAAGAAATATAAAAGAAAAAGAAAAAGAATATAAAGCGTGAAAAGAATATAAGAAAAAGAATATAAGAGCGTGAAAGAATATAAGAAAAAAGAATATAAGAATATAAAAAAAAGAAACAGAATATAAGATGTGAAAGAATATAAGAAAAAATATAAGCGTGTGAAAGAATATAAGAAAAAAGAAAAAGAATATAATGAAATAATAAAAAAAAAGAATATAAGCGTGAAAGAATATAAGAAAAATAAAAGAATATAAAAAAGAATATAAGAAAAAAGAATAAGCGTGTGAAAGAATGTGAAAAGAATATAAGAGCGTGAAAAGAATATAAGAAAAGAAACAGAATAAAAAGAATATAAGAAAAAGAAACAGTGAAAGAATATAAGAAAAAAAAAATATATAAGCGTGTGAAAGAATATAAGAAAAAGAAACAGAATATAAGAGCGTGAAAGAATATAAGAAAAGAAAAAAGAATATAAGAAAGAATGTAAAAAAAATATAAGAAAAAAAAGAATAAACAAAAATATAAGAATATAAAAAAGAATATAAGAAAAAAAGAATATGTGGAAAGAATAAGAAAAAAAAAGAATATAAGAGCGTGAAAGAATATAAGAAAAAAAAGAATATAAGCGATGTGAAAGAATATAGAAAAAAAGAAAAGAATATAAGAGCGTGAAAGAATATAAGAAAAAAAGAATAAAGCGTGAAAGAATATAAGAAAAAAGAAAACAGAATATAAGAGCGTGAAAGAATATAAGAAAAAGAATATAAGCGTGAAAGAATATGAAAAGAATATGAAAAAAAGAAACAGAATATAAGAGCGTGAAAGAATATAAGAAAAAAAGAATATAAGCGTGTGAAAAGAATATAAGAAAAAAAGAAACAGAATATAAGAGCGTGAAAGAATATAAGAAAAAAAAAAGAATATAAAGTGAAAGAATATGTGAAAAGAATATAAGAGCGTGAAAGAAATAAGAAAAGAATATAAGAGCGTGAAAGAATATAAGAAAAAAAACAGAATATAAGCGTGAAAGAATATAGAATAGAAATAAAAAGAATATAAGAAAAAAAAAAGAATATAAGAGCGTGAAAAAAAAAAAAGAATATAAGCGTGTGAAAGAATATAAGAAAAAGGAAAAAGAATATAAGCGTGTGAAAGAATATAAAAAAAAAAACAGAATATAAGAGCGTGAAAGAATATAAGAAAAAGAAACAGAATATAAGCGTGTGAAGAATATAAGAAAAAAAGAATATAAGAGCGTGAAAGAATATAAGAAAAGAAAAGAATATAAAGAAAGAATATAAGAAAAGAAAAAGAATATAAGAGCGTGAAAGAATATAAGAAAAAAAGAATATAAGAAAAGAATGTGAAAAGAATATAAGAAAAAGAAACAGAATATAAAAGCGTGAAAAGAATAAGAAAAAAAGAATATAAGAGTGAAAGAAAAAAGAAAAAATAAAGCGTGTGAAAGAATATAAGAAAAAAAAAAAGAATATAAGAGCGTGAAAGAATATAAAAAAAAAGAATATAAGCGGAAAGTATGTAAAAAGAAATATAAGAAAAGAAACAGAATATAAGAATGAAAGAATATAAGAAAAAAGAATATAAAAAAAAGAAACAGAATATAAGAGTGTGAAAGAATATAAGAAAAAAATAAAAAAGAATATAAGCGTGTGAAAAGAATATAAGAAAAAGAAAAAAAAGAAACAGAATATAGAGCGTGAAAAGAATATAAGAAAAAAAAAAGAATATAAGCGTGAAAGAATATAAGTGAAAAGAATATAAAGAAAAAGAAACAGAATATAAGAGCGTGAAAGAATATAAGAAAAAGAATATAAGCGTGTGAAAGAATATAAGAAAAAGAAAAACTTTTTTAAAGAGCAAGAACAATGAAAGAACTGGAATTAAGAAGTCAGAAGGTAATGATTGACATTACATTTAAATTTTTCAAGACCAAACTTAACAGGAAAGCAAGAAGCTGGAAAAGAGTTCCACAAGCCAAAAGTGCAAGAAAAGAAACTGTTAGCATGTAACTTCCAGTTACATCTAACCATTTCAAATGATGAGACCTGATGCCACCAGTCTAGTACTGCACTTAAATTCATAGAGTCTAGGTAGCATTGACTTCAGTACATTGGAATAATTACCATGAAAGTATTTACATGTTACCTATTTCTATTGTTGTTGCTGTTGGAATTGTTCAGGTGGATGTGATTTTCATTATTTGCTGAAGCGTTATATGTGATTTTGTAATGCCAGACTATAACATTTGATGAAGGATTGCCTTCTTTAAAACTGATAAGATTCATTCACTGAAGTCATTTTTAATCATTGATCTCAGTAAATGTATTTAGATGACAGTTTAAATATTTCTGAACAAGTTGGACATCATGCTTTTTACTCTTGTGAGTGACTAAATCTGATGAGACAATTTAAGAAACTGACTTGTGTTTTCAGGTATTAATATAGTATACAGTCATAGGATAGGTGTTTAGTACTGTGTAGGATCACCTCTAGCCTAATAAAGTACTGCAACTTTACATGGCATTGATTCCTAAAATGGTTTGAATATTCCTGGAGAGATCTTGAGCTATTCCATCTTGGTAACCTATCCAGAGCTTTATTGGTGCAGGATTTTACATGTAAATAAATCTCTCTACCATGTTCCATAACTTCGGTTTATGGTTCAGTGAAAACAAATATAGTATAGAAAAGAAAATTGAACATACAATAGACTGCATGAGAGGTGGTTTGACCCAACACTGCAAATTGTTACTAAACCAAAACATTAACCAGAAAACATGAGTCATGTTCTTAAATAACTTTATCAGATTGAGATTTTTATATGGATGCCATTCATGGTGCCAAACACGTTAAAAATATCTAAACTGACAGCTGTATACAGTCACTATCTATCAATGGTTAAAAATGGCTTTGAGCGAGTGACGCTTCATGGTATTGGAAAAAGACCTTCCTTCTTCAAACCTAATAGACTGGCACAAAAGAAATATCACAAAGAACTGTCACAAATAACAGAAACTTTATAAATTGAGGACTAAACAGAAACAGCTAAAATGGATATCGCATGTAACATGAAGAGAAAATAATGACCTAATGAAGATGTTAACATTCCACACTACTTCAAATAAAAGGTTAGAAATACTGAAAAAGTGATAATAGCTACTGGACTTGTGAAAACTATTAGAAAAAAAAAAAAAAATATTTTAAAAGAAAGTTATAAATTTCAAATGAAAGCAGTACTGGTTTCTTGGTCAATGAATGTTGTATGTTTCTTTATAAGGATACAGCTAATATTCACATTACCATGTTCCATAAATAATCACTTGGACTCATGTCAGGTCAATGTCATGGCCACACTGTTTACAGAAGTCTCCAGAATGCTCTTCAAACCAGTTCTAGGCAAGTTTTGTCTAATTCACTATTTTGTTGGATACCACATCATTGGTGGGTTATATGAAATGGGTTCAAATGGTCAGAAAGCAGTGCAATGTAGCAGTTACCAGTCAATGGTGTGCTTAGGAGAGGTATCAGACCAAATCCATGTCATGTGAACACCTCCCACATATGAAGACAGCACCAGTTGACCTTGTTGAGAGCCGAGGTAACTGATCTCACACTGCACACAGACCCTACCGCATAGTTTAAAATTTAAATATATTGGGTATCAAAATTTAAAATTAAATGAAAAGTGTTCCTGTATTTTTAAAGTTCTATTCTAATAGTTTCATTTTGTGCACTTCTCACCTGTTATAGTGAAGAAAACGGCAAATTACCTCATCAAACCAAGTGGTGTGTCACATGTATCCGATGACTGAAAATGTGGCACAAAAATAAGTTACTTGCCAAAAAAAAAGAGCATGTATTCTGCATGATATGCTGAAGGCAGAATATTCAAATTAGAAACATTATTTTGTTTCACTTGTGATGGAAATTTATGAAATATATACATATTCTGAAAGGGAACATTTCTAAATGATTCATGCATGCATTGTGAATTTTAAGCATAACATTTTTTTTTACATCAAAAATAAAAATAGAGGAAAATGAGATTTTTATCATTTGCTGCTCTTTTATTTCCAGAAAAGAAGAAAAGGTTGTACAAACAGCAAAAAAAAAAAAATGTGTGTTATATTGTTTGTCAATGATGTCACCAAGTTCAGATCTGTAAACTTTGATCTGGAAGACTGAATGCTCTGTCAAGCTGCAGTTGTTGATGATGACCAAATCAAAACACTGATTAAAAATAGACCAGGTGACATGATATGGCAGAGATACTTTACATATCACATATGATCATTGTAAAGCATTTGAAAACACTTGAATAGATGAATCAC